AGACCAGGGCTCAGGGTCATTATCGGTCACCTAGTTCTTCACCTGGCTGTTCTCAGAGTCCAGTTTGCTGGACACATGGCCAAGGAACTTGCTCTGTTTCCAGTCTTTGGCTTCGAACCTAAGGCTGTGAACAGTTGCAATAAAGAACATCATTTCCAGGCCGGCCTGATTCACTGTCATGACACGCAAAGGGAAAGGGACTCGAGCCCAGCTTCGCTTTGTCCAATGGCTATAAGAGCAGGGGCCCAAAGGCAAATGGCTATTACCCTGAAAACTGCGCATGCAAAGGGCTGGGTGGATTACTTGGCTTCTGCAATTAGAGCTGTTTTCCCTTTTCCCGTGAATTTGGGGAGTCTTCTGTTATTAATGACCTTTTTGGATCTATGCCCAGGACTTTGAGATATTGTCTTCAGATCCAGGTAATGAGGTCGCTACTGAGCCTGAACAAATGGGGGAAGGTATTTAATAAGTACTCCACGCTGTCTGTGGGTGACCTTTCATTTGTGGAGATGAGAGGCATCTGTTTATCATCACCCCCATGTGGAAGATTTTGATTCTTCAGGATTAGTTCTTCTGGATGGAATCCATTTCATTTTCTGCCTTGTTAGAAAGTTTGCTGTTTAAAGGTACCACATGCTAGATAGAGCATTTGGGGGAGCTGTGGTTGAAGGGGAATGAGTGGGAATCTTTTCAGAAGGCTAGAAACACACATCTTCCTCAGTCTGGGGTGCACACTTGATTTCCAGGCTGACAGATGGATGCTGGTGAGGAGGGTTAGTGATTACTAGAGGCAAAAGAATTTCCCTCCCTCCCTCCCTTCCTTCCTCTCTCCCTTCCTTCCTCCCTCCCTTCTTTCTTTCCTTCCATGGTGGTAGTGGTGTTTGAACTCCAGTTCTTGCTCCTGTTAGGCAAACACTTTACCACTTGGTTTTTATTTTTTGGAAAAGGGTCACAGGGTTTTACCTGTGTTATCCTTGCATGTACACTTCCCCTGTAGTTGAGATGATAAATGGATTCCTGCCACAATTAGCTATTGATTGAGATGGGATCCTCCTAATAGATTTGTTAGGTTTTTAAAAAGAGGTGGCTGAGTAAGAAGTACACCACGCATGTGGTATTCAGGTAAGGGGCAGATTTATTCAGAAGACTTGCTGGAACCAGGCCAGGTTGGCCCCCCACACGGCTGGCAAAAGGGGCATCTGGCCCTGAGCTAGGCCTTATCTAGGGTAGGGGTGGGGAAAGGTGTGGCCAGGTAAAGGGAGGCAAGACCAGGTGGCCATATCAGATCCAGATATGACCTCACCAGATGCGGATGCGGATGTGGCCTCTTCCAGGTGTGCCAGTTGCCTAGGTAACGCAGGTACTGGGTGGGGTCTGCTCGCCATCCAGGAGTGGACCTTACAAGTTTCCACTCCCATCCTCTCTCACCTTTCCTCTTCTCTTAAGTTTCTTGTATGTAGTCCTTGCCATTCCCCTTCCTCAGCCTCTTGAGTGCTTGGACTTAGGTATGTGCCTGCGAATGTTGCTTTTGAATCTTGCTAGGTGAGAATGTTTCTGTGGCCCATGTTAGAGTTATTTCCTTGAGGATGTCCATCAAGATGGTTTTCTGCCTATCTGCCCTTCTAAAGAGAGAAGGGACCTGAGAGATCATGTTTTCCTTCCTGTCAGTGTTTTTATCTTTGCAAGGGAACCAGACAAACTTATCAAGAACCTTTGTGTGCTCACCAGTGGAGCTGCATCTGTGGAGTAAGTGCCAAGGGCTGGGACTGACCCTCAGGTATGACTCCTGAGGCTCTACCTGGGCCTTGGGATCTCGGCAGAGCCCATTGCTAGTCACCGATTAAGTCTCGGAGCTTTATTGTCTAGGTGAGGGGACTCTGAGAAATGCTATGACTTGTCTGGCCTCACATTATAGAACTCTTGGCCTGCATGCTGAGCCTGGTGCTCTTTCTACCATATGCTGTATCTTTGGCTCTGCTGATCTGTCCTTTGACCTGCCTAGTTTACTCTGACTCCTCTTGCCCTTTGGTGACCATTGTGACGCCCTGTGTGGATCCTAATCGCCAGCTGTCCTGCAGAGAGACTGGGCCCTGTCTGTGCCCTTCAATTCAGCCCCGCCCCCGCCCCCTGGCACACACAGGTACTGCCCAAGCTCCCCCTCCATCCTGTCTAGGGACTGAAGCCAAAGCTTCTTGCAAAACTGTCTTCTGAAGGCCCCGTGGCTGTCCTGTTTGTAAAACCCTTCACAGCCTTGCCTTTCATTGCCTTAATCTCAAATTGCATCAAAAAGGGAGAGATTAGAGGTAAAACCTCAATAAAGGACTGAACAAAAGCCCCGCGCCCGCGCTGGATTCTCACACCCAGCTTTGCCTTTTCCCCTCCCTCTTGTCTGACTGATGGAGTGGATGGACCCCTTTTTCCTCTCTCTTTAAAAAAAAAAAAACTTAGATTAAAACACTATTTAGAAAAAGCCCACTAGTTTGAAGTCACCTCTGGTTCATACATTAAACATCAAATGTACATTAACTGTGAATTATGGTCATGAAAAGTAAATCCTTTAATGCCGTTTTCTATGCTGCACGGCTGAAGCTTAACATTAATGGTCTCTTTGCAACTCTGCGAATGGACGGACTTCTTATTTTCTAGCTCTCACCGCCAGGTAGGCGTTCCTCTCAGTGCGACTGTAAACATGCATGCAGGTGAAAAGATAGCAGGGAAGTTTAAGCCCTGAAGCGCTTCTACTTGGGTGGGAAGCCATTTATCCCCCACAGGCAGGTGGCCCTGCCTTGTGCAGGGGACCCCTCTGCAAGTCCCTTCACATCGGCTCAGTTTAATTGTTTGCCACATTAAGTTCTGAGGAACTGTATTTGTCAAGAAGATGTCTAACTGGCGTCTAGATCAAGCTATTGATCAGAAATCCTGACAACAGGAAAGCAAGCTTTCACTCAAAAGGCTTTTCTATTTATCTTTTATCTTCTACCCCCTCTCCTCACCCCCCCCCCCCCCCCCAGCAAAAGAAAGCAAGTTACAAAGGCAGTTGCCTTTGTGGTGATTACCAGGAGCAATCACCGCAGGGATTTGGTATGAAAATCTGGCTCTGTGTGTGTGTGTGAGCCCGCGAGTGCCCGCGTGCGTGTGTGCTGGTACTGGGGCTTAAACTCAGGGCCTGCTTTCCTTTTGGCTTTTCCTGTCAAGGTAGGTGCTCTACCACTTGAACCACACTTCTACTTGTGGCTTTTTGATAGTTAATTGGAGATAATAGTCTCTCAAAGCTGGCTTTCAACCTCAATCCTCTGATCTCAGCCTCCTGACTAGCTGGGATAACAGGTGTGAGCCACCAGGACTCACTGGAAACAAGGCTCTTGATGCAAAGAAGCCTCAAACTTTCCCCTCGGGCACCAGGATGAGAGGCACAAACAGGAGTGATACAGACCCCAAATGTTTACTCTTGGGAGAATGACTTTCCTCCTTTAATACTGTAAGAGATCTCCCTTGGTGGAGAAGAGAGATATAAATTGTAGAAAGACTTTGACTAGGGTCTGATCGGAAGCCTGGGAGGGCAGAAATATGATGGAGCTGTGGACTTTAGCCAATTAAGAGACAAGATTAGAAAAGTCAGAATGAATGATTAGTTCTCCAACCTGGGCTAAGAGACAATATGGAGACAAAGTAGAAATAACGATAGAAACCCATTTGAAAAGGCATCAGATTGCATTTCAGTGTTTATGCACCTTTAGAGCTTGCAGTAAATTACACAAGTTATTTAAATACATCCTTTAATATTTATGCTTTGTTGTTTTAATAAAGACTTCTATTTTTAAATAAAAATGCATAATTAAGTGGAACAGAAATTTTTTTTCCTTTTTGCAGAGTTTAATTGTGCCTCTGGGAAGCCTCGGCTGTTCAGGCTAGAAAGTCCAGAATTACCCTCCCCTGTGTAACAGCATCTTCTCTGCATTCAGTAGGTGCTCAATAGATACTGAATGATCAACTATTGAGTACCTGGCCCTGTGTTATGCTCTAGAGTTCTATTAGTGGAGGTGTGAGGAAAGAGAGATGGATTCCGCTCAAACAGAGCTCATAATTTAAGTAAGGAACCAGACATCAGTTATACAAATGAGTGTGGGCCTCAGCCAGAGACCAGTAAGAAGCACTATGTGGTCAGAGTATCACCAGGGACTTAAACTTGTAGGAACCATGAGAAGAAAAGGAAGGCTTCCTGGAACATGCATGTAATCATCATTCCAAGATCATTGAATAAGAAGAGAGGGCTAGAGCGCCACATGCCACGGTGTATTTGAAGGACCTGGAGGAAAGCAGGGGACAGGCCTGCCTGGTGCTGTGGCTAGGCTGCACAGACAGCTGGGCTGGGGAAGCACGGGTTGGAGCTGAAATCCAGCCCAGTTTTCCTTGCCAACTGACAGCCCCTTGAGATGCTGTATCAGCTTAGATGAAAGGGCATCCTTTTATCCAGCCAGGCTGCCTAGAAGGGGCACCTTTGTCAAGTTCCCTCCACAGCACCCTAGGTGCTGACACGATCCTGGTGGTTGGAGGACAGCAAGGCAGAGGGAGAGTGAGGCCTGGTCAGGCTGGAAAGTTGCCAGGGCCAGACACTCAGGCCTGGTTGCGCGACTAGGATTCAGGCCTTTATCCTAAGAAGAGTGAGAAGCTAATGAAGGGTTCTAAATGTGTATGTGTGTGATGAGCAGATTTGCATTTTGAAAAGATCACTCGGGTTGCGGCGTGGAAACCCGATTACAGGAGCATCAGGGTGGAAGGCAGGGGTGGGGGGAAGTAGTATGGTTTTAGGCAGAAGATTGATTTCAAGTTTGGATTTGGACTACTGAGTTTGATGTGTCTTGTAAAGCATCCTAGTGGAAACGTCAAGTAGGCAGTGAGCTCAGACAAACTGGGTGTGTAATACGAGGTCTTTGGTTGTCATAACCCTCAGGTGTCAGCCACGGGGCATGAAACAAGTCATTCACTGGGCCAGTAGGGAAACAGAAGGAAGGCAGCCGCATGGAGAATGAGGGCCGGGGAGTCTACCTGGTGCAGAGGGTGAGGCTCAAGTGGCAATGTCTACATCACCGTCCCAGAGAACTAGGAAAAGCTGACCATCCACCGAGCCCTTGGAGACTCCAGTGAACTAAGTCGTCACGGTAAGGTGAGTGGGGACATGTACGGCTTCTCCTGGTATCGATGATGAATCATGGGCATTTCAAATATGACCCTAGATAGGGATCAGGAGACGGCTGGGTATTGATAGTGCTAAACTGGACGCTGGTTGGCTCACTTCCATAATCCTAGCTACTCAGGAGGCTGAGATCTGATGAACTGTGATTCAAAGCCAGCAAGGGCAGCAAAGTCAGTGAGATACTTATCTCCAATTAGCCAGCCAAAAGCCAGACCTAGAGTTGTGGCCCAAGTGACAAAGCACTAGCCTAGAACAAAAAAAAGCTAAGAGACAGTGCCCAGGACCTGAATTCAAGCCCCAGTACTGGGGTGCATGTATACACACACACACACACACACACACACACACACACACACACACACACACAACACCACATAAACAAAAAAAAAATGATAGCATTTAAATAATAACCTTGAACTGGTAGCCCTATGGCTCTTCTTCCCAGAAGTCTTTCTCCATTGTGGATCACAGACTACTAAATTTATTTGGAAAAGAGATTAGTGTTGGACAGATAGATTAGAAGGTTCTAAAATAAGATGATTTCAGAAGAGGGTGAGAGGATGAGTCTAGGGTTGGACAGAGTCCAGCTCTGCTCACTAGGACGATGCTAACAGGAATGGTTATTGGAATATGTCTGGTGAACAGCCCTGGCCTGGCCTACTGGATACTCAGCCTACAGAATCAGGACCAGTTATGGAACTTGAATGGAGTCTGGACTTGGGCTCCCAGTGAATGACTGAGTTTGATGAGGACCAGAAATGTGTGTGTGTGTGTGTGTGTGTGTGTGTGTGTGTGTGTGTGTGGCGGGGACGACTTTGAACCCACATGTTGAAAGAAGCAGCTTTCTTAATATAAAAACCTATAAATGAGAATAAACCCAATTGCTTATGTCTTGAGACCAGTTTCTAGACTTTTAGTAGCTTTATCAATGCTATGTGGAAGAACAAAGTGGTATGTGCATGCATGTATGCATGTGTGCATAATACATGTGTGTGCACGTGTATGCATGCATGCATGGGTATGGGTATGTAGGCATGTATGTATAGGTGCTTATAGTCTCTTTCTTACTAGGCTTGGATAAATATTGCAGAAGTAAAGAGAAAGTTAAGGTAGCCTAATGTGGAGAAGGGAAGGCCAAGAAATAGAATCTTAAGCATTTGGTCCTTACTGGCAAACAGGGCTTAAACTAAGCTCATTACTATTAATAATGCTAGACACTTATCTAAACATTTTTTAAATGACTAATTCAATCATCACAATAACCTTACAATACCTCTGGGAGGTCAGTTGTTACTAACCGTGCTTTTCAGATAAGGAAACAGATACACAGCAGCGAGGTCAAGTGATGTGTGTGGCCCACAGAAACAGGAGTCAAACCCAGCCATCTTCTCCAGCCCTCGTGCTATATGCCTGAATCCTAGTGAAAAGGAGGAAGTATGCTGGTGCTTTGGACTCCAGAATTCAGAGGACTGAATTCTATTTCCATTTTTGTGTCTGTGTAGGAAAATTTGCAGAGAATCCAACATGGAGGCCACGGCAGGCAGGGTTATTCTGCTGTCGAAGCAGTAAGCCTCTGAGAGACTGAGGTCTCCGCATGCTGCGGGAGGGTGGCAGGGCCACAGATGAGCTTGGCTAGAAACCTTCAGGGCTTCCCAAGCCTCATCTCCCAGCAGGTCCTGGGTCCATGATAGCTTCCACAATGTACCCTCACTGTCAGCTTTCTCCCTGTCAATCTTCTCAGTTCCCATCAAACATGTGTGATTCCTCAAGAGGTAAAAGATGGTGTGCATTGCATTTAAATAACAACCTTGAACTGGTAGCCCTGTGGCTATTCTTTCCAGAAGTCTTTCTCCATTGTGGATCACAGACTACTCACATGCTTATTATGAGCTGTTGAGAGTTAAATGAATGAATGGTTTGGCGCAATTTCAGCTACCAGGCAGCTTACAAGGTAGAGCGTTTAGTTTAGTTACAGTGCCTGACTTCATCTCGCTTCACACCCACTTCCAACCTGGCTCGCTCTGGGGAAGCAAAGGGATCCCTTCGTGATTCTTTCAAGTCAGGTGTGTTCTTCAGGCCACCTATTGGGGAGAGAGATTGTTGAGATTGCTCAGTGAGAGGGCCTCTCCTTGTTCCCCATCTTGGCGTTTCCTGAGCTCAGCCATAGGTAATTACTTTTCTTTGATCCAGAGCAAACAGGCATGCCATTGTGACAAGCACCAAACTTGGGAGATAGATGAAGCTCACACCTTGGCCTCTTTAGTGCTATGCTTATAGGCATGTACCACCATGCCCAGCTAAGTACCTCTTTTTTTTTTTTTTAAATTGTGATTAGGGGTGAGGGTTGTCAAACCAGGTCCTCTGGTTTGTTAGACAAGTTCTCTACTACTGAGCCACATCCCCAGACTCAATGCAGACACATTGAGAAATTCAATGAGTTCACTGGGAAGGCTTTTGCCTAGGTAGTAGGTTTTTGTTGTTGTTGTTTTAAGTTTGCATGTGCTTGGAAGGTTGAAATTCACCATGCAAAGAAAGAACCTGGCTGGAACCACCCTCATTTTCCTCTTGAAACGCATTTGTCCCTCAGACTTGAGAAAAGATGAAATCTGCCTAGCTACTTGAAAGGCCTCTTCCGGAGCCAAAGACAAGAGTTCAAGGTAGAAAACCAGAACCTTGACGAGGGTCAAGGGTCACCCACTGATCAATCAGGCTGGAAATATGAGGCTCTGGTGGGACATGAATGGTCCTTCTTCCAGGCTTCCCTTTTACTTTGTGTCTTGTTCTGTTTTAGATGTATAGACACAATTAAAGACTGAGAATGATGTGCTGAGATTAGATACAACGCAGGATGCAGCTAAATGGTCTAGAGCTGTGGATTTAATATCTTTATTCCCAATATAAAAAGGAAAATCCCGAGGGGGTGGGAAGGGATTCATTTGTCCTTTAAATTTACAAGGTACAAAGCACTCTGGGGAATACGAAAAAGAAAAAAAATAAAAAGGAGATTCCACACTTATAAGAATCCAGAACTATCCTTCTGAATTTCTTCTTTTATTCCTGCCGTGCCTGATACTCAATGGTCCATGAAAGCTCAAGAAAGAAGCAAAAGGATTTCCTTGTTTCCTCTCCCCTGATTTCTTAGAGAAAGATCTTGTCTTGTTAAAGGAACTCGTCTGAAATTGAGAAAAAGTCAGATGGAAGCAAAGAAAATACGAAAGTGCAAATGTTTGTGGGCTTTCATACGTTGATGTATGCAATAAGTGACAGTAGTTTCTGGACACGGGAGCCCAAGTTTGTTGCATGCCCTATGGCTGGGATCTGTCCAGAAACCCTTCTAGTTTGTTTCTGGATTTGTTCTAGAATGAAGATCAAACCAGATAAAGATCCAGAAGTCCATGATAGCTGCAAGCAGAAAGGTGAGCTGCTCCCCAACCCCAGGAAACAAGTTACTCCTTAAATTCTCCTAGGAGCCCCCACCACACCCCATGCTCTACAGAGCAAGGGTAAGGGGCCCTTCCTTCCTAGGAAACACCTCTGAATTCTGGCAGTGTCTGTGGTTCTATGCCATAAAACCAAAGCCCTTCTGGTTCTGTTTATCTCAGCACCTCCAACATCTCCATTTCTGCCGGCATCAGGTATATTACAGACGGGGAAATTGGCTTTCAGAAATAGCACCTGTCAGAGATCGGTGGGCATTCAGTCTCCCCCCTCCCCTCCCCACACCACACACCCACCCCCATCAGCACCAAATGGTCTTAATTAACTTTGGACACTTCCGCGCCTCACACTTTATTTCTGAATGTTATTGAAAGTTGTCAGAACTTGTCTCACTTTTCCCTTTTATTATTAATGTGTAAATACAATGCCTCGGGAGTGTTACTAAAACACAGACTCTAATCCCTGGAGATTAATTTATGAACGCAGCATAGGGTGAAGTTGCATCCTGGCGACTGAAAATTGATGCTGGTAAGAACCACAAGCACTGGCCTCTTCAAACCCATTGAGATCCGGAAGGCCAAGGAGACTGGGGGAAGACGGAGCAAATTGGAAGGGCTGGGCTCTGTTGATTTTTGAGACACCTCTAGAGGACACAGGACCCTGGACTGGACAGAAGAGAACATAGCTACCTTTTTCTCCTGATGAGGCCCAGTCCCCCCTCCCCCCATGTAACGCTGTCCATCCATTAGCCAAGTCCACGAGCATTTATTGAGCACTTAGGCGACATCAGTCTATGCTCAGCTCGGTGGGAATCTAAACAAGCAAAGCCGGGGTGACTGCTTGTGATGGATAGCCTTACCTTGGTGGAGGGAGTCAAACCTGGGCATTAGTACATATTGGAGCACCACGCTGGACTCCAGCTAGTATAAGATTATGGACGGTGGATTTTAAGGCAAGGAGGGCTGGAGTGGTGGAGTGGTGTCCAACCCGGGATGGGGGTGCGGGATAGCCAGGGGTTAGGACTAGGAGGCATCTGCTAGTGCCGGGATCCGCTGATCCCAAACATAAGAAAGATGGGGCGCCCAGGGTACCTCCCGGGAAGCCTGCTGTTCACAGCCGCATCTTTATCGGGCCCAGGGAGGCAGCTCACTGGTTTGGATGGCGTCCAGCTTCAGAAAACCTGCCCCCCACCCCCGCCTTTTATTTTGTCTGAAGCGGGTAGCTGGACACCCTGGCTGGGGGATTCCCTCGCTTCTCCACCACCTGGGGCCCTGGGAGCTGAGGGGACCCCGGGGGAGGATCTGGGGGGCCGGGTCGCAGTGGTGTGGGGTTCAACTCAGCCCGCCAGGGAAGAGGATGGAGAGGAGGAAGCTGGGCCTCTCGGTGTGGGACTGCGCGGGGACCGGGCCGGTGGCGGGGACACCTGTGCAGGCTGGGCTTGGCCACCCCGTGCCGCGGGCCCCTCCGTCTCCCTCGCCCTCTCCAGCGCGGCCCCGCCCGCCGCGCCAGGCCTCGTCCCCGGGTGGATTTCAGGATGGGCCCGGGCGCAGGGCCCGAGGCCGCGGGAGGAGGACGGAGACCGGGGCTGCGCCCAGAGATGGCGGCGGCTCCTCCGAGCGCTCGGGACGGCGGGGTTCCAGAGCTGTGGCCGGCCCGCCGTGCCCATCGGAGGGAGGGGGGGGATCGGTGCCCGGTTGGCAGGGCCAGGCACCGGATGCAGGGCCCGGCCGGCGGCGGAGGCGGAGGCGGAGGGCCAGGGCGCCGCCGAGCCGCCCGCGCTGCGCAGCGGCGCCCGGCAGCGGAAAGGCCGCCGCGCGCCGCGGCCGCCCGGCGTCTCCGGGGATGGCGGGGGCTTTGCCACCCTGGCTGGCCGCGGAGGCCGCGGATGCAAACCCAGCCCCGCGCATGCAAACCCGCGCCCCGCGCCCACCTCCCCGCGCCCACCTCCCCGCGCCCACCTTCCGCCGAGACCCGCAGCACGGTGGCAGCACCGCCCTTCCTGGGCTCCACAGACTTTGCAAAGCCCTGCCGTGGAGGTGGCCCCCGCGGAGACCCCAGAAGAGGAGGAAAGGGACGGGAGGGGCCCACGTGGACGGCTATGGGAAAGACTCCCGCCGGCCACAGGGAAAGGCCAGGGCTCCCAGCTCTGCCCCGCTCTGTAGCAAATGGGGGTGTTTGTGACCTTCTGGGGGCTGGGCTGTGTGTGCGTGTGTGTGTGTGCACGTGTGTGTGCTTCCCAGTGGAGGCATCATTCAGGACTTAGGACTTCAGAGGAAGATCAGACCTGGGGCCCCTCCCTGCCATTCTCTTCTCCCCTCTCCCCACTCACTCACTGCTGGCCAACCTACTCCCCCTGCACAGACCAGGCAGTCAAAATCACCAACTAGCCAAAGGGCCCACTGAGTGTATTAGTGGGGCCAGAGGGTGTGTTGCTATGCACACAGTAGGTGCCCGGTGCACATAGAGTAGGAGGAGCCTTTGGTTCCTGATTGCTGGAGAAGTGACATTCAGAGCTACAGACAGAGGTGGTGCCCGGCTGGGCTGCTCAGCCCCCATGGCTGGGCTGGTGTGGAGGAGGCCAGTGCTGGTGCCATGATTGAAGGGCTGCTCTTTGGAGCTGCTGCCAAAGTAATCTCAGGCCGGCAGCCTCATGCCTTTGGTTAGTCTCAGCCCACTCGCCAGCTCTGCCCTTCAGAAGAGGCCCAATGTCTCCTCCAGAGGACACGGATTAACCCCTAAAAACGGAGTTTTGTTTGCACGGCTCTCTCCAAAGCTGAGGAAGTCTCTGTGGTGGTGTTCCTTGTTGGCCAGGGGAATCCTTTAGGTCAGAAGAGGCTGGTAGAGGCTCGGCCTCTGGCCCTAGATAGACACCCAGTCTGGGAATTTGCCAGGAACTCTTGCTCACATGCCCCGCTGGTCAGTCCTGCCTTCCCCAGCCAGCAGAGCACCATGAGAGGTCTTTTCCTATAGGCTCAGCCCTGCCCAGTTACGGAACCTGTGTTGACTAGGCTAGGAGTAATGGTAGGGCGACCACTGCACACAGATGTATGCCCACAGGTTCAGGGTCCAGTGCAGTCTGCAGCAAACACCCTTTCCTTAATAATCACTGAAGATGTCCCTCTGCTGGGCCCCTGGCTTGGTTTCCCAAGTAGCTTTCCAATCTCAGAGCAGCAATCTCACCCTAGTTAGTTACTGCCCTCCTCTCTGGCCCTTTCCCATCCCTGGGCATGCCTGGTACCCTGAAGGATACCCTGTATCCTGCAGGGAGGTGAAGAAGGCCCAGTCTTGGTCGTCAAAGAGTACAGCTGCAATGGAGGTGGTGAAATTATGGAGTAACAGCTCTAACAGGATGCAGGTGGAGCAAAGGCTGGTAATGGGTCACATCAGTATGTGACTAGTACTTGGGGAAGAGAGTACTTTGCTGGAACGTGTTGGGGGGGAGGAGACTTCGTGGGTCCTCTCTCAAGCACATATTTTTAGTATATGAACATAGAGTAGGATGGGAAATTATTATTTGTGGTAGATTTTTCTAAGTTCGGGTACCTAACCACTTTTTGACTACTCCTACTTTTCTTCCCCTTCTTTCCTTCTGATCCTCCTCTCCCTTCTCATCCTCCTTTATAGTGTTGCTAGCAACTTCTTTCTGAGAAACGACTTCCAGCAACTGTCAGGGACTTTGTCCCCTCATTCTTTTCCCCCCTTCAGATGGCCAGCCAGTCATCCCAGTCCAAGCTCTAGGCCTGGTAATGGGTTCAGAGATGAACACATGACCCAACTCACCCAGTAATGTCTGGCCTACAGTTGAAAGGACTCAACGTAGAGAAGAGTAGGGCTTCTCCTACTGAAATGTGAAGTTGGCATCCTGACGTAGCTGCTGCCATCTTGGCCCATTGGTTTTTGTTTTTGTTTTTGTATGACATGGACATAGGAAGCCCACCACTGTGACAGTGGGAGAAACATTTGGTCCTTTGAGCCACCTTCTAGATGTCTAAAACCAAACCGAGCCCCGCATGTATTGATTCTACGATCTGATAACTTACCTCTTTGGGCATTTTGACTAGGATTTGATCGCGTTATCACTCATACCTGGCATGTGCCTACCGAATCTCTTCTGCATGCCGAGCCCCGAGCTCAATGTTTCTGTTTGATAATCTCACTTTCCTGATCTTTCAGATGGCAAAATCTTAGGTACAGACAGGTTGTGGCTCTGGGAAGCTTATTCAGGGACAAGATTTCGGAAGCTCAAGCAATGTCTTAAAGGGTCCTAACCTGTAGGAGAAAACCCCCAAAAGTCAAGTTTCAGTTAAAGGATGAGTTCTTCAACAGCCTCAGTGCTCTTCTTCTCTCTGTTCCTTGGCATGGCTGTTGGCCATCTTGAGACAGGACCCCTCTAGTGGTAAGATGGCGCACACTCCATGGGCTGGTAGATTTGTGGCTTTATTTGCAAGGCTATAGTATAGTTATTTCTGTAAGATGATAAGGACATAGCAGGTCACCCAAGCAGGGTGAGAAGCAAGCTGCCAGTCATTATTATACTTAGCTCAGTAAGCCTAACATAGTCTTTGGTTGGTGTTGATTTCTAATTCAGCTTGGCTAACCCTGTCCATGCACAGGATAACTCCGGACAGGGGAGAGTTAATGACCAACCTTCCTCCAGGAGAGAAAAAGGCTTCAATAACAAAACCCAACAGCACGGAGGGAAAGAGACGCAAGTTACCAGCCACAGAAGCTTAAAAAAGAACCCACCCACAGCTCCCGCTACAAATGCTTTTAGCCGCACGTTAAATCTTCCCTCTAATGGCACCCCTGTTAAACGAGATATGTCACCCGACCTGAGGAGGCTGACTTGAAAGGCAAATAGTTGGAAGTGAATCCACACGTTATTAGTGAGAGATGTTCTCACATTTCCGGCAAAAAATAATGGAGCTGAGGTCTAAGAGATGACTAATACCTCCCCATTACTGACCCGAGGCCGGGCATTACATTGTAATGCTGGCCACTCAGCTGGCCCTTCTAGCATATTTTTTGGTGCTTGGCCTCTGAGGGCTTTCTGCTGGATGGCTCACTTCATGTTAACCTGGGCTGACCAGCCTCTTGAAATGAGGAAGCTGTCATCCCCATGGGGTGGGGGTGGGGGCTTGGGGGAAGCTGGCCCTGGGTTGCCCAGAATAGAAACGCAGAATCCTGATGGTTTGGATGAGTTCCTTGCCTCAAGGAAAGGCCATATCTAAGACACACGGATTCCATCCTCATCCGGGTTCAATCCTCTTTCATAGTCTTGGGTCATTAGTGACCTTGATGTTGACGCCTCTAATGGACTTTTAAAATTTTCTCTTGTTTCCCACCCTCTTGACCATTGCAGCTCAAATACCCACCTTTCTTCCCAGGCTCATCCTCCTGGGTGGTCTGATAGCTGTACAGTGGAAGTCCTAAGGACTCATGGCTTCTTATTCTATATTACCTCTAAAAGCGATCTCCTCTATGGGCTTCACAGCCCATCCAAATGCCAATGGTTTCTTTATTTGACTCTGATCCAGTTTTCCCCTGTACATCTGAGAACTGTATTTCCAGCAGTATACCCGAAATCCCCACCATGCTGTCCCTAAAGCTGCCTCCAACTTAACATCTGCAAAACTAAACCCACTGTTGGCATGCTTGGTCTTGGCCTTCTTCCACGATTCCTCCTTCTCTCCATGTAGGGAAAGGCTGTATGTCCATTTGTCTATGCTGGAAACCTAGAGGAATCATTCTTTCTCTGCCCTCCTGTTCCAATTGATCGCCAACTCCCTGCTGATTTTCCTTGCTAATGATTTCTTGGCTCTCTTTGGTGGCCTTCAGTCTCTGCCATCATCACAGGCCAGAGTGTCACCATCTTCTGCTGGTGACAACTTCTTAATGCATCTGTCGGCCCCTCCTGTCTGTTCACACTGCAGGAGACTCTCCTTGGAATTCATGTCTGTCCACGATGCTTTGTCTGAAACTCTGTATTTTCCATTGCTCTCCATCCTCTCCAAATTCCTCTGTGATTTGGCTCTGCTGTTTTCTTGGCCCCTTCTGACATTATTCTTCCCTCACTTTCTGAACTCTAACATATGGCCTTCCCTCCATTCCTTAAGCCACACTCCCCCTTGGCTCAGGGTTTCTGCATGTTCTACTGTTTGTGAAATATTGTTTTTCTTCTTCCTTTTGCCAAAGCAACCTCTGACTCTCCAGCTTGCAAGTTTCTTAGCTTCTTTACAGCAACTTCACATGATCCCTCTCAGATCAGATGAGGCTTCTATGCCACACTGTTGGATTTCTGCCAGTGTGCGGAACAGGGCTGGCCCTTAAAGCCATGGCTCACTGTTTGTTGGATGAATTACCCTCTGGTTAAATACCAATTGCCAGCCTTGAGGGCTGGCTCTGAGATGTTCCTATAATATCCTTATTTTCTTGGCTAGAAGGGAAAAGAGGTTCCAGTTTTTTGCTGGGAGGACAGTTGTGGGGCTTGAACTTAGGGCCTGGGTGCTGTCCCTGAGCTCTTTTGTTCAAGGCTAGTGCTCTACCACTTTGAGCCACAGTGCCACTTCTTATTTTTGAAGATTAGTGTCTCATGGGGATTTTTTTCTTCCCAGGCTGATTTTGAACTGCAGTCCTCAGATCTCAGCTTCCTGAGTAGCTAGGATTGCAGGCGTGAGCTACTGGCAACAGGTCGAGGTTCCACTCAGTATTCAAGTAAGGTTCCAGTTGAACTGAGCATGTCTTAGCTCCTGTTTTGACTTTAGGGCCAGGGATCCCTCTTGAATTTCCCCCTTGTTAAGCCTTGTAGTCTCTTCACAGCTGGACCCTGAAACTGCTTCCAAAGCCCTAGATGCAGGGCCTGGCCATTGTCCTTGAGCTGTTTTTGCTTAAAGCTAGTGCTCTACCACTTGGAGCCACAGCTCCACTTCCTTTTTTTTTATTTTTCATGGCTAATTGGAGATAAGAGTCTCATGGACTTTCCTGCCTCAGCTGGCTTTGGATTGTAATCCTCAGATCTCAGTCTCCGGAGTAGCTAGGATGAAAGGCATGAGACATCACACCAGCCCCTCCCCTCTTTCCCTAGGTGGATACGAAGAGTCCATGATGCAGGAAATGCTTCTGGATCTCTTCTTGATCTAGCAGGGCTCTAGCTTTGGATGCAAAACTCAGAAGTCACCACAATACTGGCCTCTCTTTTTCTCTCCCTATTACCCTCCCCCCCCCCCGCATTCCTCAGTTTCTCCCTAACTCACCAGACCTGCTGGCTATTGGGGGCCTCAAAGGACTACGCTGGCCATCAAATTCTCTTTTCTGGCACATTCCCCTGACCTTCTGTAAGATCTAACCTGATCTATTCTTTCTCTTTAGAGCACTTATCTTGTGGACCGTACATACTGGGCAGTGGGAGGGGAGCTGGTGTGTCCCCCCCACAGCAGTGGTAACAACCACAGCAGCAGGTTTATTTTTAAATAAAAATCAGGAAGTCACGAGGCTCCTGAGGCTTTCCTGCATTCTTATTTTTCATTCAATAGGAAAAAGAAAGAAAGAAAAGACAAAAGAGAGAGAGAGGGAAAAAAATGACGGGGAAAAATACAGCTCGTGTTTCTAACTTCCATTTTTCATGGCTCCCTGTTCCCGGTCCCTTTTCCCTCCCGCTTCCCTTCTCTGCCATTTGGCAGCTCTGAAGAAAGGCAAGGAGTGATTTCTTCTGAGAAGGGAGTGGGGAACCTGGGCAGGCTGAGCATTAGGCATGCAGCCCCTGAGCAAGTTCGCATGCATGGTAAAATATTACCTTCATAACACACTCGCAGATAGCTATGTGTAAATGGTCACATGCTTTTGTGATGACCGAGTTATAAATGATTGCAGACTCCATCATTAATAATGCATTTGAACAATAACAACTTGATTCAAAGGAAGACGTAAGGCCTTTCTTTCTCCACCCCCCCCCCCATCCCCACCCTGTATATGAATTCACTCTTGTTGTGTGTGAAATGACTGGGACCTAGGATCGGGGGCCCACGTTGGGCCTTCAGAAAGTGGGGGAGCATTTCAGCTCATGCTGGCCCCTGATAGGCAAAAATGGGACATCTGGTGGCCACCCCAGAGATTTTCCTATGTGCCGTGTTGATTTGTACCCGCTAAGTGTTTACATCTTCCCAGGGTCCGACAATCTCAACCACCAGCTGCTCTGATGCTAATTTGAGGGTGGGTCTCCAAGAGTGAACCAGAGCCTGTAAATTCCCCAGCAGTTGATTGCCTGAGGTCACTGGTCTGTTTAAAAGATATAGTTAGTGCTAATTCTTCAGGATGCCATTACCTATCATGGAACCTTAACAATCTAGCTCAAAGCATTTGGTGCTCATTCCCTAGTACCTTTCTACACTGTGTTCTAATTACCCCCCCCCAAAACATTCTCAGGGTCATAAAAACATAACCTGCTATTTAAAGCTTATACTGGGTTGTTCAGTCTGCAAGCTCCTACTCTTCCTTCAAAATCCTGGTCAAACATGCCCCTCTTCTCTAGCTCCCCAAGGCAGAGTCCCTTGTTTCATCCTGTGATCTCATCTGTCCATATATATCTATATATCAATTCATATATATATATATATATCTCACATATATATCTATATATCTCTATATACCAATTCATATATATATATATATCTCACATATATATCTATATATCTCTATATACCAATTCATATATATATATATATATATATCTCAATTATATCATTGCTCATACCACACACACACTGTAATGCTTTATTCTTGTATTGATTTTCCTTGCTGGGCTTTGAGCTCCTTACCGCCAATAAGTGCATGTTTCTATCCTTTATATCTCCATTCTTCAGCCCAGTGCTCAGAAATCATTAAATATTCAGTATGTGTTGAATGAATAAGCAAAGAACCACTCAATGGACACCTTTCTGTTTTCTTAGGTGGGTGATATTATGCGATGTGCACCCTGAGCTGGCACAGGAGACGTCTGGGAAGAAGAGCTCCTGTTCATTGGCATGCCCCTGAGCCAGGTCTTCGAAGTCAAATTATTCAGAAGGTGTTTTAGTGAAAACGATGCCCACGGACCTGGCCATTTTCTGTGCTCCATCTGATAGCCTGCCACTGTCTATCCCTTGGAAATCAAGAGTCTTTTCTACAACTGTGTGTCTCCATCCCTCCTCTAGTACCTACACCTTTCAGTTGAATTGTACCCTGAAAAGAATCTTGATGTTACAGGTTTGCAGTTCCAGATTCTTTCATTCATTTGGCATGACCTCGTGTGTAGGCAGATGTCTAGAGTTGCCGATGGCTCTCTTTCTCAATCACTCTCATGCCTCTCCCTCTGCTTTGACTTTGTTTCCTTGAACACTGTGAGGTGGGATCCCGTGGCCCTGGGCCCTCAGTTGATAGCTCCATGCAGACCTCTGAACCCCACCAGGGGTGTGTTTGTACTGTGGCCTCAGAGCTGCAGTCAGACCCTCTCTTCTTCAGGAGGAAAGACCTGAGGTTAGTTCCCTGAACCGGGCCCTATTTTAACTACTTCTCCTTGCTCTAAAAGCTTTTTCTTGCTTTTTACCTTTTATGACCATACTCTAAAACCACTCTCATCTCTTCCTGTGCTAAAACTTCATCATCTTTTTGAGTCTACGTTTTTCTCTACAATTTCTTCTTCTTCTTCTTTTTTTTAAATAACTCTGACCTCGGAGCAACACTTGCTCCATCTGTTCTTTCTGGCCCTGATTTCCCTCGGAATTACTGATCCGAACACTCATTTTCCACACTAATTTCTCTCTCCAGAATACAAGAAAATGATGATCAAAAATATTTGCACAGCTATAAGGTCACAAATTAGTTTTGTTTATTTATAGCCTCCTACCTTCCTAAAAAGAAAAGCTTACTACTGGTCTTAAATATCACGGTGAAAGAAAGTAAATTCCAAGTAGGTTTTAGAAAAGAAGCAAACCCTGGTCCACCGGGCCAGGAGGTGGTTGTGGAGCCGCAAGGGCATGATGGCATCCAAGCTACATGCTGGTGGTGGCCCTGGGTTCTATGATGGGCCATTTGTGCCCTACAGAGAGGGAAATGAGATCAGTTATGAAGTTCAGAATCCAGGACACACACACACACACACACACACACACACACACACACACACACACACACACCTAAATTGCTATGAAAACTGCAATGTTTCGTGATGACAAGTCTAGGGAAAAATCCATCTTGGAGCCTTGAGCTCCACCATGAATACATCACATATAATATATCAATATAGTAGATACAACTGATTCTCCACAGCATTCTTAGACTAACTACTGAGGAATGTCCTTTGTATATACATCCTCCCAATTAGAGAAGTTTAGCACATTGTAACGGGAGAATGGGGAGAGGCTTTTCAGGTTAGTGTTTAGTGATCTGGGGGCTTCCTTTCCACGTGAGTCCATAGGTATTTAAATGGTCTTGAAGCAATGGAAAATGTGGTCCTGGCGCTCAAGAAACGCATGCTGTCATAGGACCACCCACTGCACGAAGCCATCCCTCAGGATGCAAGTCTGCATCCATTCTGAAAGTGCCATCCTCTGGGCACAGCTGCAGAGCCTGTGTTTTAAGCAAGCACCCTTAGGATTCAGAGGCAGGCATTTCAGGTAAGCATTGTTGTGATGGAGATTCTTCATGTGGGCCAATGATCTGTAGTGGAAAGCTGCATCGTGAGGTATCACACAGGTGCCCCAAACAAAGGATTACAGGAGGCTAAAGTGATAGGAATCACTTCTGGCAGGCATAGCGAGAGAAGACGGTGGTAGTATTTGAGCTGAGCTCTGAGACACGAGCAAGAGCAGGCACAGGATAAGCCGGGGAGTACTTTCATGCAGAGGAAATAAACTAGGCAAAACCTCACAGGTAGAAAAATGCTGGGCAAATAGATCTGATTGACGCGAGTGTAATCTATGTAAAGGAAATGGTAGGAGACAAAGCCAGAAAGGCAGGTTGGGGACAAATTATGGAGGGCGTTGAATACCAGACTGATGAGTGTGAGCTATTCTCAGTAGGCAACGGGGAGCCATTGAAGGCTTTCGAGCCCCAGAATGATGTGATCAAAGTAGCACTTGCAGAAGATTAATTTGACTGTGGTGGGGAGACTGGAGTAGAGGGTAAGGGACTGAGCAGAGTTCAGTACATAAAGGACATTCTACGAGTGTTTGTGGAATGAAATCTTTGAATAAAGCAGGGAAGAGGCCATTGTGATAGTCTAGGTGTCAGAAGATAAAGGCCTAAAGGAAGAAACAAGGAGGAACAAAGAGGGAGAGAAGAAGGCACAGACCAAGATGGCCCGCTGTGTCTGGTGAGGGAAAGAGAGGGTCATTATCTACTCTGAAGTTTGAAGCCTGGGCTGCTAGGGGGGTCGTGGGCCCATTGCCAGACCACGTTCAGAGGAGGCTACGGATGGGCGCAGGGTGAGAAGTCATGGAGCAAGCTATATGAACTGGAGCAGCTGAGCGGGCTCAGGGCGGAGTCTGAGAGGCACAATTCTGTAGGACCTTGGCTAGAAGGCTAGAAGTGTATCATGGCAAACCTCACTCTTGACCTCGAACAATGTCCGCACTTCAGTATTGGAAGGAGACACAAGTGACCCGTCTGGGGATAGTCAAGCCGGGCAGAGAAGTATGGGGACTGTGTAAGAATGGGACCTAGAACAGAAGGACAAGGAGTTATTTCAAGAAGGAAGGATGGAATAGTGCTCTGGGCTGCAGCCATATAATGGTAACCAGGGCTGAGAGCAAACCCTAGAAATTAAGTTCTCACTTCTGTCCTGACGGAGCATAGTTCACATAAACACCATGCTGTGCCTGAGGGTCTCCCCCTCAAAAAAAGTCTGTGTGCTAGAACTTAATCCCCCAATGTGAGCTGTTGGGAGATGGTGGTACCTTTAGCAGTCAGGGACAAGTGGGAGGTCCCTAGGGGATTGAGGGTGTGCCCTGGAAGGGGATTGTGGGATCCTCGTCTCTTCCTGTCTCATTTCTACTTCCTGGCTTGCAAGGCAAACAGTTTGATTCTCCATATACACCTGTCATGTTGTATTGCTGGCTTGTCAGAGTCCCAAAGCTCAAGTGTGTGTGTGTGTGTGTGTGTGTATGTGCATGTGTAGGGAGTATGCTTGATCTTGAACTAGACCTCCAATACTATGAGCCAAAACAGACCTTTCTTCTTTTAAAGTTCATTGCCATGGGTGTTTTTGTCGTAGCGAGGGAGACCTGACTAACCCAAAGAGCAACAGGATGTTGTTTCAGTCCCACTTACTAGGTGCCATGATTAAATCAGGAGTCTTCAATCCATATGTGTAGTATGGAGATTTTTCTTTCTCTTCCCCCCTTTTTTCCCTTCCCTAACTTCACCTGTTCTTTTCTTGGCCAATTTCTGGGATGGACCTGTATACTTCCTCCTCCTCCTCTTCCATATGGCAGGAAAGGACACACTTAAGGGCTAATTGGCCTTTGGTAAAACATCAATGACCATGAAATTCCATTACCTAAGTAATGGAAACATGCAGCCCAGAATCAGTTTCTTCCAGGCTTGCTGCCTGCTGTCCTTCTGGCCTAATTACCTTTATTACCATGCCCTGAGTTCAATGCCAGTTTGAACAGCTTGTTTTACGTCTGAGGATTTTCTCTATATTTATCAGGACGATTCGGTTGCAAGAAAGAGAAACTCAATTTGTATTATCTTTTGCAACATAAAAAAAAGGGACGTATTAGCCCATGGGACTGAGGAATCCCGCCTGCACCTCATTGAGAGGTTTAGGGAACCCCCACAGAGTTCTTTCAGAATTCTCTGCTTGGCTTCAGTGCTGCTTTGTGTAGAGAGACATCTTCTCTAGGTGTCAGCAAAGGTTTTGATCTGTAGTCCCACCCCACAACACTCAGACAAGGAAAAAAAAAAAATCCCATGGAAGAATTCTGATTGGCCAGTCGAAAGGAATATGGCTGGATCCAGATAGCACGCCCCCTACTGTTAGCAGGGATGATTGGCATCTCATTAGAAACAGATTAACAGGACAGAAAAGCAATTCTCCCAGGAAAAGAGGAGGGTGATAGTGGTGCTGGACAATTCCAAGCCACAGATGACCTGTCTTATTTGACCTGCTCTGCAACCAACCTCTCTCGTCTCCTTAGCCAAGACTGGGCCTAGAGCTCTCTCATTCCTATTCTCCTCTCTGCCCTAAATTAGCTGGTTGAGTGCTGAAGTTGAAACTGAGCTCCAAGGCTTTCCCCTGCTCCTCTCTGGCTGTGCTTTGTGACAGCCATTACCTACCTGAACAGGTGTCTCCTGACTTCCAGAGGCCCCAGGCTGTGATGGCAAGGGAGGCTTAGATCAGGCCAGTGATGAGCTGGCTGAGGTGTGTGGGAGTAGAGGAAGAGTCAGCCCAGGCTGCTGAGCCAGGTGAGATGAAGGAGCACTGAGGCAGGAGCCTCAGGGCAGCTTGCCCACTTGCTGCCTGAATCCCACAGGAGGACCTGGTGCCTTCGGAGCGCCCGTGTGGACTCGCTCTGTGACCCCAGGCAACACGCTTAATTGCTCAGGGCTGCCTCCCCTCCCTCTCTCATCAGGCAAGCAGGAATCATGACACGGTGGCGCTAACAGAAGCGGTGCTGTTCAAGAGGAGAGGCTGATTTGGAACTTGCTGCTGTGGAAGATGGGCTCCCAAGCTACTCTGCACCTCTAGTGTTTCCCTCAGCACTCTTGGCCAGGGAGTAGGAGGACCCTGGAGACTTAGCGCTTTCTGATTTCAACCTCTGGCTCTGCAGCAGTGCTGGGACACAGTGGCCTTTTTCATGCCCAGGGTTGAGGGTGGGTGGGCATCTCCAACATGTTGCCAATACTGGCTTTAGAACTAGAGTTTATGGAACCCGAGAGACCCCAGATTCTGGACAGGATTTTGGGGGTGGGTGGATTTTTATGACCCTGATACCTCCTAGTCCTTTCCTCCGGTAGGTTCAGCATTAGGAACAACCATACATGATACTTACACATCATTGGCCGGCCAGATTATATGGTAGGGAGTTCTGGAAGAAAGG